TGTGCTGGCGCCTGGCGTCTCACATGCACGGGAAGGGAAGTCTATCACAGAGGCGGATACATAAATTTTTCTTAGGAGGTGTGGTTCCCTACTTCCTTGCGACCCCCCCCCCCCCCCCCCCCCCCTCCCCGCCACTCTCTCGAGTGCAATCTCAAAAATTGAAAGTCCCACTGCTCCGTGTTGAAGGCCCGGCTCTGGACCCTCTCGAGCGCCGTCGGCTCACTCGCAGGCCTCAAAAGCCAAAAGTCTCACGACTCGAATCTCGTCGCGTCGAGCGATCGTCGCTTGCACGTGCGAGGAGGAACGCGGAACTCGTTCAGAGATCTGTCGTTACTCAGACGGGTCTCTGAATGGGTTCGGGACCTTTCGTCGTCACGACCGATGTGGAGAACCGTCGCATTCGCTTTTACGAAACCTCGAGAGCCATTTCCTGCTTCACTCGTCCGAAAGATTTTTTCGATCTTCACGATCAGATCGGCTCCCTTGCAAGACATTCGGGAAGCATTACATTGTCGATCCCAAGCATTTCAGCAGAAATCATCCATCGTCATCCTCGGGTGCTTCTCATGCCTCAGGCTATGCTGCATTCGAACAATTGAATGAATCGAGTGAATTTATGGAGGGAGCTATTGACGCGGCGGATAGACGTTCGATCTGCAAATCCCGCTGAATCCGTGGACCGATTCGGCTGTAGCATGTAACATGCCCTTGCTTCGCAGCAAGAATTAATTCACGTTTTGTGGTGATGTCAACACCTGGGAGTGGGAGAGAAAGTTCTGGCGTCATTCGTTGCACAACTGGTGCAAATCTTCATCGGAGTTACACTCTTGATTATTTATTCCATCGCTAAAAGTATATGAGATCATTACCGTGTTCGAGCCTGTGATTGTTTCACTCCACTGATCTCACTAATTTACTCAATGATACGCCTCTCCTTTCCCTTTTTGCATAGAGATCATTTGCTTGAAATATTCAGCGTGACAGAGTTTTGTCGAAATTCGACATGAAAAGGTCATGTGACGTAATACATATGTTGAATCGGGGATTTTTCTCTCAAAATAAGTAAGGAGCCAAGGAATCCATAGCCGAAAAGCGGATCCGTTGGAAACTGATGCCAGACTGACCGTCAAAATCCGCGCTGTGTCGTGAATTGTCCTCCCCTCTTTTTGCATATTCGGGATGGCCTGCTGCTCTCGATAAGGGTCAAAGATTCTCCCCTACTCCGACACGTTGACACGATGTCGAAGGGAGTTAAGTAGGCTCGGCCATAGGGCCATCGTTATCCCAAGTATGGGAAGTAATACGTATTACAGTGACATCTCTCTAAAAAAATTTGTTGATGTATTAATAATATATGTAAATCCTGCTCGGCTCTCGGCCCGTCCCGATCCCGATAGAGAAACCCATTTTGGCGTCGACGGCAAATTTGCCGAAATTTCGCTCGCTTCGTCGAAATCGATGTCGACCAGGAAAAGAATAGCTTTACCACTCGCTGCTCGCTTCCCGGCGACCAGCAACTCTCGCGAGGATTCGCAAAGGTTCTCCGCGAGGATGTCCACGGGATTCCCATCGAGAGTCTCGATCGAGCGCGACAAGATGACGACTTGGATTTCCTCGAGGATATCCAGGACGTTTGGGTCTTCTACGTCGTGTTCTTCCCCCCCTTTCCCCCCGGAATCCCATCGGGGTGCGAAGCGTGTCGCCATCAGCGACATGTTGCCGCGACCGGTCGCCTCGGGGTTCGACCCGGACTGATTGAAATCGCGACTCGCTTCCCCGACGTTAAGGGCAATTTGACCTCATGGGATCAACTCGAAAAGGATCCAAATTCTCAAAATCCATGTATTATTTTTTTTCGCATGTGCCTTGCCGGGATTGAGTAACGGAGATATCGATCTATATATTTGAAATACTGACGAAGTCAAATTCGACCTTGATGGGTCCTTAAGACCAAATTTCAATTTTTTTTGGGCCATATTCCCCCAAATCAGGAGAGGATGGGGTGGGGGGGTCGACTCCATGATCATCGCTGAAATGAAGTTCGGTTGACCCTAGGTCATCGCGCAAAGAAGTCTTCGCAAGACGGGATGAGAAGTTCTTCAGCGTTGATGCACTCCACCGAAGTTATCCGGAAACATGAGGAACTTTGATCGAAAAATCATTCCACGATTCGTTTTGAACCCTTCAGGGTCTTCCGCTTCTGATTGCGCGCTGTTAGGTCGGAAAAAAATACTGCAAATTCTGCAACTATCAGGAAACATTTGGCGCACCGAGTCGTGTCATCGGGAGCCATTGAGATTAAATCGATATTGCAACCAGAGTTGAGATTGTAGCTCGTAGGGGCAGGCATTGAACTGCCGATCTCCCAAATCCAAATCAAGTGAGAATCAAGACTTTTCATGTAAAAAAAAAATTAGCGAAAATCGAGACGGCAGTCAAAAACGAAAAAAGTGTCTTCTACAGAAAAACCTCCACACTTTGGTTGGGGCTACTCTTTCTTCAACTACATTTTCCTGGCACATCAGCTGGAAGATTTGGAGCAGACGACATGAAGATAAACAGAGCTGGGAGAGCTTATAAACAACCTGATCCGTGGTACCCCACTTTCACCTACCTTATTGGGATTTATTATTATTATGGGGAATTTCTCGTAATCCACCTCGCGGCCCGTCGGAAGTCGCTTCGACGTCGAGCGCCGGGTCGTCGTCCGTTGCGAAGGCTGAAATCTCCGGAGAGCAATGCCTTCGAGGTCAAGGTCATGTTCAAGGTCGAGGTCACTCGGTCGGATCGTGCCAAATTCGTTCGTTTCTCGCTGGTCAAGAGATCTTAACCGATTTTCAGCAAAACAGCAGTTGAGACTTTATTGGATGCAACAAATCGCGAAAATGTTCATTCACGATTATTTTACGCTGCGATTACGATGCTTCGTGCTTTTGACTCCAAAACGAAACCCGGCCGGCGACGCGAGGGGCGACCTATCTCAGGTCGCTCCAAACTTTCCGCCGATTTGTCGACAAACCAGCCGACTTGGCGGATTCCCGCCTCGCTGCGACGCATTGCGAGATCGCCTCTTCGAGCCGGATTCCTCGTCTCATTCCGTCGAGTGGACGCCGAGACACCTCTCGGGAGACGGCACGGCTCGGGTTCGGCTTGCACCGCGAGCGTTCTTCGAGGCGGGAGCGATGCGCCTGGTCTCCCGCGCGATTAGAGGTTCCGGAAGTGAGGAACCAAGCGAGCTGAGCCAATCCAACCACTCACCACGCAGAATTCTTCGGGAGACATTGCAACCAAGCGATTTCAACATCGACTGAACGTAGCGAAAATGATGACATGCTAGCACAAATCGAAAAGGAATGCCCCGCGTATTGCAGACGGTCCACGTGAGACAAATGGGCTGGGAACTCGGCAACGTAGCCATAGCAGAACTTTGGCAACGTAGGGCAGCAACACAAAATGGCCGTCAATGAATGCGCAGAGTCGTGCGCACTCCTTCATTATAGCTACGGACGCCATGAAGCGAGTACTGCAGACCCGACGCCCCATCCACTTTCATTCTCCCACATCTCTCCTTTCGTACACCACACAGGGCAGAACCAATGACTTTAGTGGCTCTACTCTTTCCTCTTCCAGTTGCAGGGCACACGGTTCAGGATAGGTTTGGGACGTATGAGTAATTCCAAGGGATTTTCTCGGAAGCAGTAATAGAGGCCACCTGGTCATGTGACCAGTGTCGACCAATGGCGTTGCGAGAAATTTCGAAGACATGATCCTTCCCTGAAGCCGACGCTGTGGAACGACGCAGCCATCACGGTGGAAGTATGTGCCTCTACGGCAGTTTTTGTTCTAGGGATGGACTCTAAGCCTCCAACGACCCATCTTGGGTCACAACAGCAGCCGGATATTCCAGGAAAAGGGTACATATCAGATTTAACTTCCGTAAAGACTTCAACGAGAGCTTTGAGGATAGTCCTGCATGACCGTTAGGTGATGGCTTGATGGCACATCTTTCCAGCTTTAACGTTAGGATCACCGCTCAATGCAGAGGGACAATTAGGTCTAGAAAGACATAATAATGCTATTTAGGCTTGTTGAAGATACTTTGATGTTTAAAGGAGGAAGGGATGAACTGATAACAATTTTGAACAAGGTCGCCCAGTGAGGGGGGGTACCCTAGTCCTTGTCCTTTGATTGTTTCGGACTCGGCTGATCATAACGGCTTAAAATAATTCAAAGCGGCCAAAGGTTATGCTGGACTAAGACTACATAGCTATGTGACGTTATTCTTAGGCGAAGTCTTTATGTTTAAAGGAGATTTACATCGCTCCAACCTAGTATTGGTGCACTCAATGGGACTAACGGCGTCGCTATGCTACTATAGGCCTAACGTTGGACCGAACGTTAGGGTTCGTGTAGCTAAGGCCAAAGCCTTTAGGAAGTAGGAAGTTTTAGGATTTGAATTTATTTACTTGGAACTGATTTAGAACAAATCTTCAAGAAATGATTGTGCATTCAGTTGACTCAGGGCTTTTTTGTTTTGTGGACCTGTTAGGTCCAGTCCCCCCCTATACTAGGCGCTGCACTGTATTTGACCATTCTATCAATTTTCAGAACATAGGACTATCTATACTCATAGGACTCTAGGTCTATACTTATGATGGTTGGCACATGAAGAGTTCACTGCTTCCAAATGGTGTCATTTGGTAAACTCTCTTCAATATATGTTGGCTACTTCTAATTTCATGGGATATTGCTGGCCGAGGCACTCCTGAGGTGTCTTTTTGCATTAAGATGCTCTAGTTTTTCAAGAAATGTGTATGTCCTTTAGGTGTTTTGCATCCTTTCTGCCGTATTCAACATACTTAGGTCATTCTGACTTTTTCATTATATGTTGCATCAGAAAATCATCCTTGTGCTGCAGGTGTCTGCTTGATTTGTATTGGACAAATGTGACATAGCACTCTGTAATAGTACATTTTGTTGCATCAAGTGTATGTGGATGTTGTATGGATGGCTGATCCATTTCATGAAAAGGTGAAAAAAGGCTTGGAATTTCCTGCTAAAAGATTTCTCCTTTTGAAGGAAAAAATTAATACCTGTTTTTTCACCTGAGTTTTCATGGCATGTGTTCTTCAGACCTACTCATCTTCAATTGCTTTAATGTTTGCTGTGTATCTTTTTCAATCATCGAAGTCACATTTGTCTGTAAAATGCAAAACACTGGAACCCAAATGCTGAAATCAATTTTCACCAGGTTCACCATCCTTTAAGAATCCATGCCCTTCTAGAGGGAAAGAGGGCTCTTCAGCTTTAAGGCCCCTTTATTTTGCCTAAATGAGGTTTCAGCATTTGGACCTAAAGCTCTGACTTTGTGGTAGTCTCATCATATTCTGACCCTTCAATTTTTAGGCTATTCATACATAGTTCCCCCATATGTCATTGGTAGAAACCTGGACAGAAATGTATTAAAGAAAGTAGAACCTTGCCCATCTTTCACATTTCAGATTTACATAATGATACTCTAAGATACTTTTGTTCAGACTTGATTAATCTCTTATGTACACTCAACAGGGAGTGCAAGGAGAACCCCTTCAATGATAACAGGGTTGGATCATAAAGCCAGAAATTTCTTAGCCCTGGAAGATTGAGAAAAACATTGTACCACAAATTGATTCTGACTTGCCAGCTTGAAAAAGGATCATGTCCGTTATTCCTAGATTTAATAAATTCCCTTTGCCATGGACTTGTGGTGCCCTGGACAACTATAACTATCTAGTCTGCATGGTATCCTACATGTTGATGAAATATATGGGGGGATATAAAAAGAAAATCAAAGAGGAATCACCTAGTGTAGCGGAGGGAGGTAGAAGAGCAGGAGTGCCAAAAATACAACTTGTGATGAAGTTTTGGGAAAAGGTGTGTGTGGGAAATTATGAACTGAAGCCGTCCTCCCCATGGTCCTTTGTCCAGCACTTTTCCTGTCACTGAAAATGATCAGTGTCAATTGTAAGTTTTAAATTTTCAGTTTTACAGCAACCATGACCTGAATGTGTGGGCATGCGTATTGGCAGTGATTCCGGTATTTATCAGGGTGCAGGAAGAATGAATTACATTTTAGTGAATTTTAAGGCCTGAATGTTAAAGCCTCCTTTAGTTAATGGTTCTATAGGAGTGCATGAGCTCCTTTGGAGGAGAAAAAGTTCCTTAGCTGAGAGGCCTCTTTTTATCTTGCCTAAATAAGATTTTAGATTTCATGCCTTATACTTTTCTTCTTTTCTTATAGTTCCTCAGGGTTCCCTTCCTTGAACTGGCTTAGCTGTCCATTCTCTCCAGTTATGTAGAAGTCCTATAGGAAAGAGTAGGATTCAAATGCATAACATTTCTCTTTCAATTAATTTACAAAAAACACCATAACCTTGACAATAGGTCCCATCATTGGTTTCTTGAAGGATAATGAGACCCACCAGTGGATCCCCTGCAATTTCAACCTTCAAAGTATACATGTTGATGACAGTGCAGCTTTTTTTGCTGGTAATGCTTTGGACAAATACTGTAATTTGTCCTCTTTATGGCACTGGTGTAAACTCCAAGAATATTTTGGAATGATGGGTACATTAATTTTGCTCTGGAGGTTGTAATTCTGCAGGACTCATTTATGAAACCCATTGTCCTACAAGAAACATACATTGGTGGCCCCAGTCATTAACGAAGTTCTGATGATTATCTAAAAATTAAATTTTTTTCTTAGCTATCCACAAGCCTTGGAACTTTGAACATCAACTCACGACATACCTCCAGTGACCAGGTATAAAATCAGATAGCATAAACTTAAAAAAAAATTAAAATACAAATATGTATCCATGGTTCCTAGAAATTGTTGATTTTTGGTTCATGGAAACTGTTGTCAGCATAAAAAAGCTTATCATTGCTTTCACAGGTTTCCCCCTGTGGCCAAGAGACAATAGAAAAATACTGAGTTCCATTTTTATGAACTTTTGGGGGCTTTGTTGTTGTATAAACACCATTAACTGAGTTCATCATGTGCTAACTTCATTTTTGTGCACCACTCTTCAAGTTTGATTAGATAGGTCAGCTAAATGTTAGACAACTTTTCAGTAATTATGAGATTAACTGTTTCCTGGTCATGTATTGTTAATTGTCCAGAATGCAGAAGCCTCATTAAGGTGAGATCATGGGGTCTCTAAGCTAAAGAGCTCTTTTCCCCCATAGGATTCCATGTATTCTTAAAGAACCATTAACTAATTGAGGTGTCAGCATCCAGGCCTACATATTCCCATAGGTCATGTGTATGAGACCCACTACGAAAATAGTATGCATAAATTATGCTTTTGACAAAAACATTCAATTTATTTAAAGAATGTCCATGTAAGAAACCTATAAATAAAGCATTTTTATGGTTTTGGAAATTAAGATTCATTAATATGGGCCCCAAGGACTTGTGTCATACCACACATCTTAAGGGTAAGGATAGTGAAAGATATGTGTTCCTAATTCCAATTTGGCTCCTTTACCACCCCCCTCTGGGTCTTGATATGACAGTTCGACAGATCTTCTGGAGAGAAGAATAAAGAATAGAGTTATCAGCTTTCCATATGTCATTTTTTGTGTTGTGATTGAATCATTGAGGATTGAATGGGTTTGAGATGAGAAAACATCACAGGGACACTTGTGTTGGAACCTGGCAAAAATAAGCATTTCTAGTGAGCATCCAAGGACTTAATTATGTCTGTCTAATGTGGGCTTGGAGCTCACATTATGCATGGATGGATTGCGTTTCTCTGGAGAAGTCTAAATAGCTATGGTGATCATACAGGGTGTCTATGAACCCATGAAATTTGAAGCCTCATAACTGCACTAACTGAAAAAATATGTGCAGGAATTTTATATTAGAGTAAAGCAGAAGTATTAAAATACTCTTTAAATTTGAAATTGTTGGATGAGGTGAAACAATAGACTACTAGGATGTCATTTCCCACCATGTTCAGAAATGTCAAGCAAAACTCAACTTGCTTATTGCCATCATCAAATTAGCCCTGAATTAGCCCAGGACATCAAGGCTTGTACCTAAGGTTTTTCAGAAGGCAGATTGCAGGACCCTGAGATACTTGGTGCCCTAATGAAAGTCAGTGACTTGACTTCTGGGGTCTGCAGCTATTCAATGAAGTCTCCAGAAATCAATTTGCTGATTTTCATGTTATCTTTGAGTGTCCTTAGGTTTGATCTCTCAAACAACAGCCATATTGTTCCAGACTAATTCAGGCCAATGCAAAAACAATGGTTTTCATGAGACATGGGTTAACTTTTGTGAGACAATTCTTAACATTGTAGCCAATGATGTCACTATGTTCAATTGCTTTATCTTGCCTGACAAAGCAAATTTAAAGACAAATCTTTCAAAGTCTCATATTTCTGTTTCATAGTGTAACATTAGCTCTTAAAAAATATGTGAAGATTTAGTTAACTTTTCAAATTTCCCAATCTCCATCATTGTAAGGCTTCAAACTTCATAAGATACTTATGACTCACCCCATACCAGAGGATACCCCACTGCTATACTCATGCCTCAATAGTGCCTGAATTAGGAAAGTGGTTGAGTTAAGGTTGGACTCAATCATGTGATCTTGGGGCTTGTGATGACTACCTGCCTGCATGGTCTTCTGATACTCCTTTGAATCATGGATGTTGTGAATACACCTAATTTGCTGATATGAAGAACTGATAAAGATGTATGTATGTGTGTATGGCCATCAATTTTCAGACTGAATTCTATATAGTGAATTGAATTTGGAACCTATAAACAAATTTTATCATGTTTCTAAGTTGAATACCAAAAGGATATCCCAAAAAATTCCAGTATTACAAAATATATCAAAACTGGACATGGGTGTGAGTTTTAACCTTGTGATGATGAGAGTCAGAGCCTAAAAAAAATTTAGTGTAATTTCATTTACCCAGATGTCACTGGTGTCGTGTAGGACAGCTTGCAGTTATGCACACTATGAATTTTGACATGTCTTGGTCAACTCTTTGAATGTACACAGATTGATCAATTGCCAACCACAGTTTGAAGAATTACTTGGATGTTATGTGCTTTTAGTGGCATACATTGATTGACAATTATCTACATGGGAAAAGTTTTTGCACACAACTCTGCACGCCATCCTGCTTATAGAATGCTTGGTATATCTGGGTTAAGACAGTGGGTGTTCCATTTATGCTTGCCTTCCTCCAAAATTAGTGGGATATGTGAAAGAGTGTCTTTCTGGAGCTGAATTTGTGATACCATTTAAATACTTGTTATTGCATAGGCCTAAACATGTTATTTGGGCATTCATGGTGGGAACTAGAATAATTTTCCCAACTGCTGATACATGAGTTGACCCTGGATGAAAAGTGATGAATGTTACTTACTCTAAAGCTCTTGAGGTAGAGGTGACAGCATAATTTGGAGCATGGAGTGCATCACTGTTCCTGGGAATGAAGTTACTCACTTCCTTGGAAAGTTAACTGTCAATTCATATTGAAATGGGTCTATTCTAAATATTTAGACTATGTCTAAACCTGCCAACAATTTGAGAGAGCATAAAAAGAAAATAATCACAGAAAATTGATGAGTCATAGTTTTAAGACCTATAGAACCTAAAGTCATTTTGTTATCATATTTAAGTTTCTTTCTCAGTTAAGTTTTAGGAAATATGGAGGGAGATACATCTGTTGCAGTTGATGGGGAATTAAAGTTATTCAAGCATGCAGAGGCAATAATAGCTAATTCATATGGGATCATGGGTTTCATGTGGTGTTGCACTGCCATTAAGTGCTCATGGTATTCATCTGTTGAATGCAATATTGATGAAGTTCCATTTAAAATATTTTCTTCAGTTTTGAAGGCCTACAAGTAAAGAGGATTGAATGGCACTAAAGAGGGTACAGAGAAATTGAGCAGGGTGGTGATATAAATTGGGTACTAGTGGCATTTATATGTGTTAGGACTGTATTTCGTTGCAGAGTAGGTTCATGAGGTATCTTGTTGGGGCAGTGAAGATCATGAAGAACTTGCAGAAAGTGGGGTGTGTACAATTTTTTAAACTTGGTGCCAACAGTATGAGGGGAACCAGTTCAGGTTTTGTAAGCCACAAGACTCCTGTTTATTCACTAAGTATGTTCGGATGTGGAACACATGGCACAATTATGTAATGGCTACCCCTAATGTGCATCACTTTTAAAAGAGGATTAATGCCTGTCATCTGTGTCATGTTCAGGTGTGGATGTAGCAAAAAACATTCTAACACATTGAGGACTGACAACGTAGATTTAAGTTGTAAAAAAACGTTCACATGTTCCTAGTCTCATAAATGTATGTTATATATTCTACACACCATGAGGTTGATTTTAGTTACTAAGGATTCTCAGTAGATGGCACTATTTGGTCTAAATATTACTTTATGAATTTTTTTGTAAAATAAAGATTTTTATTTAAAAAAATTGATGTCCCATCTGTTGGACAAGTGTCAGGTACCTAGTCTTCAATGTGTTAAATATCACTTGCCCCAGTCATTGGCTTTGGCTACCTGTGAGCTGCTCCTAAGGTAGCCTACAAAGCAGTGGAGTGGTGCCTCTGCTTGAGGAACTGTCACAACACTTGTCCCATCTATGAAAGATGAAGGTCTTTCTTATTTCCCTTTTTATATTAGTTATTTCAAAGGTGTAATCTTACTTGCCTTTTGACTTGAGCTGTGAATCATTGATAAAATGTAGGTTATGCCTCTTGGTTCCAGAATCATCTCCAAAGAGTAAGGATCAGTTCAATCCAAAGGTGAATTATATGAATTTTGGCATGAGATTCTGACATGAGGGTACAAAGTTTCAAGTCATTTTGGCTATTAATCTTCCTTTTGAATGCTGGACAAAACTTGCATTGAAAATTGCAGATTTGATATGTTATCTAAACTTTTGGAGTACTGCATGGATCATATTCTCTTCTCACCGGTTGTACATGCTCACCCTATTCTTCCAGAAGTATATAAGTCAGGAACTCATGGCTTTATGGTTACTCTACTTTCTGGCTACAACAGAAGAGTTCTTAGTAAGAAACATTATATTTTGAATTGAAATTTTAAAGATTTGAGTAGGATTTAGTATTTCAAGGACTGATTCTGATTGTCCTGGTTAATAATTATGGGGCAAAATGCCTGGAGGATTATATGGATGTATTGATTGTATTAAATTCTGAATTCATCATTTCAAAGGAGTAGAGATAGGGATTTTGATACAATTTGAATATTATTAAAAGTAATATTTAGATATTTCTAGGAGAAAGTAGAACCTCAAAAGTGATGATAGTTTTTACACATCATGAAGATGATACCCCTGCTGTTGCTTAGTTTTTTGTGATGCACTCTGAAAGATTTGGGTCCCATGTTATAACAAAGAAGTAAGGATGCCATATGGCCACTAATTGCAACATAACTCCATTGAAGTAAGAGGCACTGAGTTAATATACTGGTACGTCAAGGACAAAAGGTGACAGATGGGTGGGATTGGATGGATGGCTTGTGACTCGTGATTCAAGCCCCTACATGGCTATTTTTTTTATGTTATGAAGAGGAGGATAAAATTTCATGATGGTTTCATCTTTTAATAAGAATGAAATCCCAATGGCAGAGCCCACACATGATACCCATAGGTTGGCCATTTCCCCTTAGAAAAATTATTTTTTTAAAGCACTCTAAAACTAGTATAGTCTAAGCCCATACAGGTGTGGTTTTGTCTGTTTGCCTCATTTTTATATCTTGAGTTGCATATGTCATTACTTTGAGACTGTGATGAAGTAGGATGGATATTAGGTTTAGACTTATGTACTAGGTGTCCCTAGAGGATATATATAATCTGCTATAGTTCTACTTGTATCATAGCCATTAAATAAGGAGGTTTTGAACTCAAACCATTCCTTCTTTGCCAAGTGTCACTCCATGTGGAATGGTCTAATTCCAATAACTCACTTGCTTCACGTTTTCTTTGGAAAAAGTTCTTGATATTACAAAATCCTAAGCCTTTCATTGCAAAATAAAAATGTTCACCCTAACTTACCAGTTACCAAAGCCTGTTCGTGCAAATTTTTTGGGGTGGACCTGAAAATTCCTCCTAAATACTATCCTGTATCTCTTGAACTACATTGGTTAATGTTGTTTTGTTGCTCAAATGTAATCTGATGAGTTAATGGCTGATTGCCTTCTGAATATTATTGCATACAAATTTATTTCAAAAAATTTTTAAAGGATGTGAACATTTGCTTTACTTTTTCTTTACATTTTATTTCTCCTTGGAGGTTTGCACTGCTTAATTTAGTATTCATTTGGATTCATAAATATTGTTACTCTCAAGATTCATTATGCCATCTATGGCAGAACAGATGAATTAAGGTCAAGTCAAGGTTCATTCCAATTTTGTGTAATAGGAAATACCCAACAACAAACATCCTCATGTATCACTTCTTTTCTGGTGTATTTCTTTATTATTTTTAGTGGTATAAAATTCACATAGTTACAAGGAGCAGTAAAGAAATAGTTTTTTTTTTTCATTTGAACAATGCAGGTTTCAATCTCCTCCTACTTCATAGTTATTGCTGTGAAGTTGCCAAATGGCAGCTGCATTGTTATTAGATAGTGTGGTGCTTGTCAGGCTGGGTGAGTATTAGATGTATCCAAATGTTAGTGTTTCAAAGTTCCCTGATGGAAAGATATCAGAATGCAAAGTTGCCAAAACGTTGCAAGTATGCCAATTTTCAATTGTGGATATCGTACACTTCAGGAGAATCCTCAAAACCCCATGGAAAGGTGTCTTCGTGTTGCCCTTATAAGTACCATTAGATGGATCTTGAGATGAAGAATATATGAGACTGGATGACCTCTTGACATAGAGATATGATGTTTGTGATCATGGTGCTTCAAGATTGTCTTTACTGTCTGTAGGAAGCTGGCAGGAGGTACAAGAAACTCAGATGCCAAAGATATGCAGCAGGTCCCATCAGAACCTGTGACACCTGCTGCATCCTCTACAGATGTGAAGGTGGAAGCATCATCATCTCCTGGGTTGAATGGCACCACCAAAAGTGTTTCTTCTACCCCTTCCCCAGTCAAACCATCACCTAACCCACCAAGCAATAATTCTAGTGGGAAACTCCATGCTGAAGGGGCCTCTGCAATGCCACATACTCCTGCCATGAATTCCTCATCTCCTGGGATTCATTCTCATGCTTCTGAGTCTGAGAAGAAGGAGGTAATGGAGCCTCCACCTCGGGAAGAACCCATTTTGGAACCTCAAAATGGTATTGTACAACCACCAGTGGTGCCACCACCTCACAGGCCTGGACGTATTACAAATCAGATCAAGTATCTCCAAAACACTGTCATCAAGGCTGTTTGGAAGCATCATTTTGCATGGCCATTCCATACACCTGTGGATGCTACAACTCTCAATTTGCCTGTGAGATTTTTTGGGAGCTTGTCCATAGTAATACTTTGAAAATGCATATTTTGTTGTTGGAATGTGTATGTACTTTGAAAAAAATATTCTGATGATAATGATCAATTAGATTGAAAGCTAATATTCCTCCATGGTAGTAAAATTATGACACTTTAGTTATCACACTAACTCACATATGTCAGCTGATTGTATTCACTGGACCATAAATAGGTTGTGGCAGTATGCATTTTAATGCTGTGTACACCTGCTTCACATTCTTTTCTTTAAACCAAAAAAATTGCTATTTTTGTGGGAGTATGCCACCTTGCTGGGCAAGAGTACTCAGCAGCTGTGCTGAGTGACTCTAATCTTGGTAGGCTATATAAAAATCCAGGTTTAATCCCAGGTAGGCTCTTCATACCTGCCTGATTCATGGCTTGGATACATGTGTTATGATTAATTTAGTTCTGTTATGGGCTGACAGGATTTAATAATTTTAACTATGAAATCATAATTCTGTCTCTTTATCAGGACTATCACAAGATCATCAAGCATCCAATGGATTTGGGGACAATTAAAAAGAGACTGGAGAGTAACTACTATTGGAGTGGCAAAGAGTGTATCCAAGACTTCAACACCATGTTCACAAATTGTTATGTTTACAACAAACCAGGTGAAGATGTGGTGCTAATGGCACAGAGTTTGGAAAAACTGTTCCTGACAAAAGTGGCTCAAATGCCTAAAGAAGAAGTTGAATTTCCATCAGATCCACCAAAAAGTTCAAAGAGTTCTCGGAAGCCTCGGACTTCCCACAGCAGTGCTGGTGGTGGCATGGTTATGAGCCCAGGACCAGGCAGAAGGTCTCAGGCTGCTACTGTTAGCTCTACCACTGCTGGGAATCTCCAGACTCCTCTAGCCACTGCTTCGTCTAACGCATCTTTAGCCTCAACTCCATCAATAGTTAGTCTGCCCTCTGTTCCTGGATCCACTGCCACTCCTACCATTCCGACTGCTACAGCACCCCCTATGGCAGTACCAAAGGTGAGATATGTTGTGCCACATGAACCTGTGTAAGGTATATTTGGGCAATGCAGGGCTACTGTTATGTATCACCTAGAGTGCTCTGTTTTGCACTTTCATCCCAGGCTTTATTCACTCTTGAGGTACCTGATGGATTGTAAAGTTCTGAAAATTTAAAGGCCAAAGTTCATTATGTTATGTATTGTATATCATGAAGTATTTTCTCTGAGTTGAGGGTTTCAGTGGAACTTGAATCTATTACTTGTACCAAGAAATTGAGATGATAATTCTGAGGGTCTCCAGAAAAGAGGCAAATGATAGGAAACTGAGAAAACCATGTGAATTGGATACTTGCAGGTGTCCATATCATATGGGTCTTCCTGCTTCACAGCATAGTAGACTAAATTAATTTTGAATGGGGACATGCCTGTCAATATTGACACGCAGGAAAGTGGCCTCCAACTTAGAGATGCTGAATCCCTATGCTTGAATTGTCTTGGTCAGGGAAAAATTAAATCATTGGAGCAAGCAGGCTGTATCTTAGGATTGGATATTATAGGATTTTTGGAAGAATTTATAGTGTTATTCCATTTAGATTTAATTTAGGTCAGTCTTTACTGACCCCTTTATCTCATCAACTCTTGGAGTATTCTGCAAAGTTGGTTCAGGAAATAATGGGACTTTATCTGGATATGTGAATATGTACTATTTGTAAGTGTAATTAATTGTATTAAATGAGAGTAATTCTCCATCATTATTCAATTTGACAGGTCTGCAGTTCTTTTGTCCTTCAGCCTGTCTTCATAATCTGAACTTGTAAAAAAAAAAATGGCACCAAGCTATACTTTCTTGTATGATTTGGAATCCATTGGTTTTTTTTTGTTAGTTTCTGTGGTATACACATACTGTCAAAGGTCACTGTTGGTTTTAATGATTGCAATACCATGCATTTCAGCTGTACTCCCCAAGAAACATTCTTCTGGTATGCATTTATTTTCATTGGAAGTTATTTTATATGCTGAATCTACACTTCATTTCAGAGTTACAGTGATTTCTGGGTGATTCACATCTGTTTTATCATTTTGCTAATGGTGTGTCTATCAATTGTGGATTATCAGGATTGCTGCTTTTTTTTTCCCAGCCAAGAAATCTTCATGGTTTATGTAGACTTTTATATGACCTTTTTTCCATGAGGGAAATGATCTTGGGCTTCAATGTATATTCTACAAGCATATATTGGAAAAGTACTTTGTTTCTGAAATGATCATACCATGGTATAGGATTCATTATATTCTTCCTTCATTTGTAATTGAATTGTAATTGACAAGTTTCATAGTTTTTAATTAAAATTACATGAGAGGAAAAATTGGCAAGAAACCTTGAGCCTTATTTATTCAAGATATTTAGACAGGCACTAATTTTGAAGTGAATTGAGATTTCACTTCTGATCAGGTTTTTCAGCAATAATTTTTTTCATTTTCAGTGGTGAATAAAACCTGGTGCTGAAATTTTTCTTTCATTGATAGGTATAGGTTTTTCTCTGAAAATTTCTGGCCTAACTCATGTATGTATTTTTAGATGGTTGTTCTTGTAATAATATAAGTAATTTTGTCTTTGTAGGTCAAATTGTAAGTGATATTGATCATAGATACTAAAGTACCAGACTGTGAAAATTTTGAAATTGGGATTGTTGATGAATAGCAATTGAAATAACAAGGGGAAAACTTTTGTGCCATTATCTTTCTTTATTTTTAACCCTTTCATAACAGGTTTTCCATGGCCAGCAGTGCCATCAGATATGAGTCAAGTCAAAGAAATGGTGGCATTTAACCATGAAGTATGAATGGAGAGACTCTTTGCCACAACAGTGTATTGGCCATACAGGTATGGCCAAAGCAAAATACATATTAAATTTGAGAACATACTGATAGGAACATAATCCCTGGGGGCATCTTGTTTTATGCATACAGTCATGATTCAAGGATTAAGTAAGGACTTCATGAGGCATTTCTGCCCATTAGGACATACTGTTGATTTAACTGCAAAGGAGTTGCATGAATGTATTGGTGGTGCTTTTGGGGGTTCTTTTGCATAATTTTCACAATCAGAATGGGTTTGAGAATTTTGTTGTGGGAGGGCTTCAATTTCTGATGAGACATGTTCTTGACACCTTGAAGGAGCTTTAACCACATAAATGTTGATAGTGCAAAGAAGTTGGTGGAAGGCACTCCTTACACAACCTACTGAGAGCTGTAAGACATTCTCATCAAACTCCTCACAAAATATCTTTTCCAATGCCTGCTCCAGAAGGGTTGCCAGGTCGTATGTGATTTCATCACCCTTTCCTAGGCTTGTGTTAGTTTAGCAAGCAGTGTTTTATTTCCTGTGTCTTTGAATATGCCTTACTATTTTAAGGAAAAATCCTGAGAAGGATAGCATGTTCCACTGGTGAGGTTAGGACTGAATGAAGTGCAGAAAATTTTTTTCTTCTAATTCATTCAATTTTTCCCGAACTGTATTTTTAATTTTTAATTTTTGTTTGCGGTTCATTTTTGGCCAGTTTTTCTGTAAAGTGGTGGATATGCAAAAATTAAGTTTCAAAAGATTTGCAGTTTCCCTTGCTCCTCTGTGATGAGACATGTGAACGACGGGCGGTCTGATCAAAATAATGTGATGCTGCCAGTTCACTCTGAGAGGGACTTTGTAATTTATCATATTTCCTGTTGATTGTTTAATGATTTGGGAAGTGCTTTTTCATTTTTCAAAGTGAAATTTTGGCAACCATAATAGCTTTTGTTTGCTCAATTCAAGACATCGTAATATAGTATTACTTTCATATATTGTAGCATCAGTATCGATACCACACAGTGTACTTTGATGAGAACTGGCATAAAAAGCAGTGTTCATAACCTCAAGGGAGAGAAATCATTCGAGCAGTCCTAAAACTCCATCCTCCTCTTGCGTGGAAAGGTCCATTTTATGACACTATTTTTGGTGACTGTATTTATTCAGACAATTTAGATTCATGAAACTTTCAGAAAATAAATTTTTGGTGTTTCCAATGTAATGTGGAAACATCACAAGCCTAGATCATCCACAGCGGATTTTATAAGGTGCCAAACACAACATGTTTTTTTGCACCACCCAAATGAGTGCAGGAATGTTTTTTTCCCTGCTGTTTTATACTTGCTATGTCACAGGGCCTCAGACTTTGACTTGCAGGTTATTGCCAAGTGTTCTAGTGCCCTGCTTCTATATTTGTTATCAGTAGTTATGTATTATATGATCAGAATTCTTTTGGTAATGAGGATCCTTTTGAAAGGAATGGGCCTTTCTTGGATTCATTCAAATTCTTTTTGTGATGTTGGATCACATGTGAACTCAATTTAATGTTATTCACCATATATTTTAAAAGTCTTTCTTGTATTAAGCTGGAAACTTGGAAATTAAACACATAGACTTACTGGGTTATTAGTCATTTTGTATGAACTATATATGGCGATTGGGTCCCTGATTAATTTCTAAGAAAAGTTCTCAACCTTCTGTCTTTCTGAATAAGACACGGTTATGAAGGAGGTGAACCATCAGTACTACAACAGTGCTACCAACTCCCAAGTTCATGATGTCCTTGAAATGCAGTTACATTCTTCTTAATACCTGGGTGGTTGATTAGACCCATACCATTGGTGGTATTCCAAAATGGTAGTGATGGCATATAGGTTCTGTTCGCAAATGGTGCCCAATCTAACAAGTACTTCAGGTGTGCACATGCTACAATGGCTCTATGACACAAATAAATCATCCTCTCTTTCATTTTTCCTACTGAGAAGTTGGGAAGGCATAATGTGAAATCAGGTCCTTGTAACTTTTTTTTATGTTGAACATTGGAATACCTGATATTACTGTATATTCTAAGGAGTATGAAAGGAATTAAGTTATGAACCCTTGAATGATGCTTTTTTTTAGCCCTTCAAGCTGGTTTGACTTGACTATGTTGTCCACTAGGGTATATCTCCTGTATGAGTGAAACATGACTGTGATGCTCTGTGTGATAGTGTTCTTTTATGAAAACTTGCAGGTAGGAAGGTGAACTCTATCCTTAGTTTATACAAATTTTTTACTACTTGATGTGCTCGCACTGTTGTGCAGAACTGCCAACATATTACCACCACAGGGGATGTTTGGCAATTTAAAAGTACCAGCTTGAAGGGTTAAAAACGTTAAAAATTTTGTCCTATTCCCACATAAAATACAAAGTTCCATGATGGTTTGTGATTTTTATCTACTTTTTTTTACAGTGTTGATGTCTAGCATGATTTGCATGCAAGCAATGTAAATCCAAGCAATCCCTCAAGTTTCTAAATTCCACACTAACAAGAAGCCAACTTGCCTGGCAAATCCCATGTCAACAAAGTCCATTATATAAAATGAATATTTACTATATAAAAAACAGCCTGGTATGAATGAAAGGACACTATAGGAGCATGCACCGACCTCATCACACGATGAATGCATAATTAGTTTGGGTTATAAGCCTACCCAAGGGTCAAAAGGGCTTGTTGATTTGATACATGTATAGCATTAGATGTATCTATGATTCATATGATAAACATTGGTTTCAATGGAGTCTTATTGTAGAGGAGCCATTGTGTAAAGTGAACAAATATAGTGTGAAGCAACCATCCATTGCTTTTCATTGCTTCATTCCTGCTTATAGGTCTGAACTTGCACATAGCATGCCAAGTGTAAGGCTTCATCAGGGTTAATATATGTGTATTTTCAAATTTACAGGGGCCATATTAATAGTCTTCATTTTATGAATGTATCCAAATGTATTGTCTGTCTATGAACCATCCAAATCTTTTCAGGCTGCAAATGTCCCCTACCATGCACCACCTGGTCATGCACCTCCTGGTCATGCACCTCCTGGTCATGCACCTCCTGGTCATGCACCTCCTGGTCATGCACCTTCTGGTCATGCACCTTCTGGTCATGCACCTCCTGGTCATGCACCTCCTGGTCATGCACCTCCTGGTCATGCACCACCTGGTCATGCACCTCCTGGTCATGCACCACCTGGTCATGCACCTCCTGGTCATGCACCACCTGGTATTGAGCCTGCAGATGCTTCCCTCCATCATCCCCCTGCCTCTATTATTCCTTCCACTCCTACCAAGGTGAGCTGTAGGGACTGGTTTAGTCAATATCTGGTATTTCACTTCACTCCATGTATCTCCTTCATGATGATCAACCTGATTTGAATCAACCAATCATGTATATGTACAATGTATATGCTCACTCAAGTCAGTTCATGAAACCTTTCCATGAGTCTTTGGCTCATTTTTCATGATATATATCATTAAGAGGAAGTGGAGTTTCTTTGTTTTTAAATTTATTAATGACATATTAAGACCACAAAAAGTCCTTTGACACATTTTTAACGTGAACTTTTTGACCGACTGAGTCTGTTTGAGCATCTGAGTGTGGAAGCCTAAAACTTATCCATTGCAGAGTGCACCATGATGGGGGGTGGGGGGGAGTGGCAGATGCTACGAGATAGTGTTTTCATGCATTTCACTCATCAACATAAGAGTTTGTAAGAGTGGTTTTTGAGATACAGGCTCTCTAAGTTGGTTCAAACTGATTTCATGAAGCCCAAATCTGCCAGAACAACATGGCTCTTAAGCATCTTTTGGAAGATGCTGGTGAGACCTGATTGCTGGTGGATGATCCATATGCCACCACCTTTGACTAGTGGCTGCAAAGACCTCATGGTCAGTGCTTGCTCTGCGTATGGCATTCCACATTCCTTGTTTATACCCAGTATGGGACCTGGCTATTCTTAACCCCCCTTCCAAAACAAAAAGACTAACCCAAACTTGTAATTGTTTTGGGTTATGCTTTAGATAAAATTTAAACTTCAGAGTGCTAATTGCCTTCATCCTTGCCACTGATGAGAATCATTGAATTTCACTTGATTTCTGAAACCAGGAAAACACAGAATGATTGGATTCAAAATTGAAATTCCAGTGAAATTTTCTATCCCGTGATGCCTCAAGATAGCCACTTTTATTGAACATTGGGCATCTTTTAATTGACAGTGTGTCTTTGAGTACTGCTTCTTCATAGCTTTGGCCATGTTGACTTCATAGTTGTTTTGCTGTTCAGTGGACATTAATGGAATTCTTTCTATCATTATCTTATATGTTTCATTGTCCCCTCCCCTCCTTTTCTTTTTTTTTTTTTTAGAGTAAAAAGGGAGTGAAGAGAAAGGCAGACACAACAACTGACATAGTTGCCAATTCTCCATATGACCCACCATACCAACCTAGTGCCGAAAAATCCTCCAAGATCTCAACAAGAAGAGAATCAGGGAGACAGATCAAAAGGGTTGTCAAAGACCTGCCTGATTCTCAGGTGAGTTGTGTATAGATAACCTTTCCTCAAGATTGTGGTGGAGTGTTAATAGAAATGGGAAGTTGAATTGTGCCATATCTTGTGGCAGTTTTTTTTCTCCATTTGTTATGTACCAATATCATTATAGGTGATATGGACATGTAGTGGGGGAGGAGGGGTTGATATATTTATGCATTTGCATGATGAAACATTCAGGCAAAACAAAATGCTAAAAGGTTTATATGAATGTCTACTTAGGGAAATACTCTTGAAGTTCAACTTTAGCTGCTGGATGTTTCACATGCTGATATATAATAATCGAAAGCACCCATTGAGGGCAGTTTTGAAGAAGGAACTGGTATCAAGGTAAAAGGGGAATATTAAAAAGCTCTTGTATGAGTTATACCTATTCCCATTATTGTTGAGTGGCTTCCCACATCTGGGAAAATGGGGACAAGCCATGAGCAGGTCTGAAGAGGATGACATCCAAGAAGCAAAAGGGAAGAATTTGTTCCCCTCCATGACCCCAGGCATAATTGGATATGTTGGACTTACCACCTTTTCTACTTGTTTTTCACATACCCCTATTTCCTTTATCCTGAATGCCTGATGTTCATTTTATATGGATTCTTATTTTTAGGCATGCATTGAAATGTGTCTTATATTTTTTGAACTTATCAATTGTTGACTAATCAGGGGCAGTGCATCTAAAGGGCACCTTGTATAGTTACTTTGAAGAACAAACCTTTGCAAAACACTATGTGCCATCTTGTCATGGACTAAACTAGCTATTCTGTGAACCCCACATATCACACAATTTGACATAGGCTACTTCCAAATATTCCACATTCAGGTTCAGCAACACATTGTCATATAAATTTTTAACATGTAATGAAAAGTTGAGGTATTTGTCCTGTTGAGGCAGTATCAAATTCTTTGTCTTACACACAGAGTCCACCAGAGTTGGAGAAATTTAGGAGAAAGAGCAGTGAAAGTTCCACTTCTGCTCCCTCTGAGAGACGAACCCGTCTGCAATCGAGGGAGAGCCAGGTAGCTTGTTCTGCATCACTGGTGAATGATTCATTCACTCTTTGTGGCTTCTTCCTCCTTTTGGATTTGGTTTTTTTTTTTTGGTTATAGGCTGAGTTGCTCACCATTTTCTGTTTTCAATTGATAGTATAAAAAAATTTCCTATTCCTCTCTATCGCCTGCATGAAAATTCTTGCCACTAATTGTTTTTATCTTTTCAAATGTCATTTTCTGCAGTAGACTGCTTTTGCTTCTCATTGATTGCATAACAGCCCTACACACACCAAGTACTTAGGTCTTGACTGATATTTTTTTGGAAGATAACTGAAGGTGGCATTGTCATGATTGAAAAGAACATATGATAGTTTTACCTTTAATACTATGTTCATATACAGCTACACAGTAGTTATGCCTTAATTTTCTGGACTTTTAGATAACCTCAGTGGTAGGGCCATGACATTGGTGTCGGCATGGTTATGTTCAAGCCCTGGTATAATTGATTGTACTTTAATACGGGTTTGTATTTTTGAAACAACACATTGGAAAATGTGTTGTTTCTCCTGATGGGAGATGGCATGGATGTGTATAACTTATAATTGATGTACGTTTATTTATATTAAATCTGATAGACAGGTTTTACCTGCTAGAGCTATTATACCCGACCAAAAGCTACATAATGAACACCATCTCAAGAATGCATGAGGTGGAATTTAATATTGTTCATGATAGCTATCTGAATTATGATCTAACGTAGACCTACTTGTATCTGTACCTGGTGTTACTTGTATCTGAAGTTAGACCTCTCCCTCAGGCCTGGGCATTATTTCAGCCCAAAGGTGCAACTGTAATGGAGTACAGTTTGGATTGTTATGGCTAGAATTTGACCAAAGGATTCAGAAGTGGGTACATTTTATGTGTTACCCAAAGCATAGGTTCCTATTCCATAGCCCTTAATTTCATTGCAAAGCTGATTTTTTCAACTGCAGGTGATATGAACTCATTAGCAGGGGTAGCAACTCAATACTACTCTTTCTGAATCCTTTAAACTTGCATCAGCAGAAGGTATAGGATATTACAACATGAAAGTTCCTTTTATATGGGAGTAAATGAAGAAAATATAGGTACTAAGGTCAACCAAAGTTTTCATTTGTGCTCCACCCTGTTGCATTATGTCCATGCAGTTTGGAATAATTGTCTCATTTTTCATATGGGTAAATTTGCATCTTGTTCTGGATTTTCATTCTCAAGTTTGTTGGATCCAGTTGTAAAGAAATTTAGTCTATTATGCATGGAATTTTTAAGGAAAAAACTAATAATGGCCTGCTTCCTTATTCACTTTGGGTGGGTGGAGTGGTAATTAGATTAGGAAGGGGGATGATTCCATATGTTTAGAAGTGGGTTTGCATATTGTCTTGTCATCTTTTATACATAGTGTAAGTGGGCCTCTAAATTGTTATACCTTCATTGCTGGTTACATTTAGTGTGAGAAATCCAGAGTTAGATTACAAATATTTGGCAAGATGTTTGACAGACTACTTGAGCCTAATGAACTTTTTCATGTGTGAAGTTAAAGGTATGAATCCATGTGATCTTACACTGAGTTGCCCTTTCTGAAGGTGTCTGAATAACAATACCTTGATATTAGTGCATGGCTGCATGTACATCAGATCATTCAGACAAGGCAATTCCTTGTACTCATTTGTACCCTCATTCTGTTATACTCCTTTTCCTTGCTTAAATAACTGGAGCCATTCATTGAGTGAATGTTGCACCAATAAGTATCTGTATTTCCTTGTAGTGTGAGGATATGCATTTCATAGTGTATGAGGTTGATCTGTGGTTGGTCATTTATGAACCTGGAAATTCCTTTGTGAATGGTGGTTTGGATGGAGGAAGCCTCACCAGTGATGCAAAATCCTCCTGGCTCTCAACCTTGTGCATATATAGGACAAATACATGACCCCAAATACCCTGGCATTGCTAATATGGAGGATTCACATAAAGTTTAAGGAATTCTACAGTTACATTTTGGAGTGCAGCAGGCTGCACTAGCTAATAAAAAAGATTAAACCATTTCAGTGCATTTGTACTCTACTTGATGGCTGAGTTGCATTTAATCTTGCACAAGCAACATGTATATTTTCTTTCATTGGCTTTACTGACTGACTTTTGAAGCTACACTATGACTGGATTCATACTAGGTGAATGATTGGAAGAAAACAGTGGAAGGTGGGTGCTGTAAAAACAGAGCAGTAGGTGGATTTTTCATTTAGTCACTTCTAATAGAATTAAGCTGAAACCCATTTATGTCCAACAGCAACATGTAGTTGCTGTCACTTGTCCTGTGATGGAGGTTGCAAAAGGTTATGGTAATGGAGTTATACAGCTATGCTACCATGAGAAAAGGCATCATGACTCTTGGAAATCAAATGTTGATTAAAGTTTCATCTAGTGGGCATTTTAGAATCTCTATTTTTCCCACTATTTCTGAAATTATATTGCATAAAATATTTTATATACCCAGGTTATTGAGAATACAACTATCTGTGCTTACCTCTCATTACAGCTGTCCAGGTTTCTTCTGTTGCACTCTCCTTCTGTAGACTTTCTACTCAGCAATACCAACTGGACCAGTTAGATCAAGTGCAAGATATATATATATTTTTCCTGCAGTAAAGTTTAACTCTGACCTTGAGCACTGCTAATCACACTACTAATCACCAGCTTCATTCAATCAGCACATGATGGAAATAATTGAGTTTCATGCTCCACTTTCCACTGCATTTCCCACCCAGTATAAATCCATTCAAGTTTTCAACAGATTGATTTGATTCATGAGTCATGAAGTAATGACTTGTCATTTTATTCACAGCCACAGTTGAGTTCAAAACCACGGGATAAGCTGTCAGAACCTCTTAAGGCATGCAATGAGATCCTCAAGGACCTGTTTTCCAAGAAACATTCGGTGAGTTTACCTGCTGTATCGCTCCTTATGGTGAGCTTATTCTACAATATTGTCAGCTTTATTAAGTAATAACTCAGGCTTTTTTTCCTGCATTAAGTCAAGATCCCCTAAGGCCTTATGCCAGAATGTTCTCCATGAGCCAGAACTCTTTCAGTCAATCAAGAATTTTCATAAGATATAAGGAATTGAAATCAGTTTGGTCCAGTTATCCATTTTTATTTTACCTTTGTCCCCACTAAGGGGTTAAGGACTAAGAGTCTTGGTAGTCAATTGCTCATCCACCCATGAAAAGTGATTTCCACTTAATTTGATTTTTACTATTCATCATTTATCAAGAAGATATGATTAAATACAGTTTGAGAACTCAACTGGTTATTTTCATTGAATGCACAAGTCACTTAGGCCATCAGGTGATTGTTCACTCAAGTTGTTGAATGGTGGCAGCAATTACCTTCTCTATTCATGCTTCTAATTATATTCTTTGCATCCTTTTATACACTTCCAAAAATAAATATAAAACCATGTGAGGAAAGTTCAGCCATCTTTGGCTTATAACTGTGGATCCTGCGAAAATATGCAGTCTATTGGTTCATACTCTTACATGAAGTCCCTCACTTGTTTTTCAACCAGAAACCTCCAAGTGAATCTTTGAACATTCTTAAGGAGTTGATATAACCCTTGACCCTTCTCAGGTCTTTTTGCCTGTTCAATCCTGGGTAGTTTTCTTATCTCAGCAAAGATAGTGTAATAGTCAATGACCTAAATGTCAGTTTTGATAAAGTATGGTGATGTCTCATTTCAAAATTGCCCTGGTGAATAATGTAATAGTAATTGTTCACCTTTGCCTCTCCTTGTGAAACAGAATAACCAGTTATAGCAGAAAGTTCACCCTACTCCATTTATACCATATTAACTGCAGGCAGCTGTTAAAATGTAATCAGCACCTAGGAAAAGGGGTGTTGAGCACAAGTGATTCCTCATGCAGTACATATTTAATAAGAATGGTCCTTTCTTTCGTAAGAGTAGCTTATAAGAATGCAGAGTAACAACTAAAAAGTCATGTCTTTTTCTTCTATACCCTTTAGATAAGGGTTTTGACCTGAAATCAGATTCAGGATATCCTGCGTTGTGCATATAGTTGGTGAATCAGCACTTGGGTTGGGCTAGCATCTCATCTCACCCAAGATTGATCATCTGTGGTTTCCTCTTTTTTGGGGAAAAGCATAACAAAGAAGGAATTATTCCCTTCATGTGAATCATAGTTTTCCATAAATAAATGAGATGGCAGATGGTCACTTCATAATTCATTGATCTAGTTTTGGGAGGAAACTCTGAGTGCTTGGAGTACAGTAATTGAGACCCTCCAAAATACACATCCCTGGGACAAGTTGTACTGCAGGGGTATCTCAATTGATTTCTCAGTATTTGGAATTGGTTTGGTATTTTTACTCTGTCAATCTGTTTGTCTTTGGAGAGCAAGAAGAGAGGGTGGAATAATAAAATATAACTGGCAAGCCTCCTGTAACATGCTCTCAGATCTTTGGAGTTATAGCCCATTAAGGATGAAAATTGCGTGACCTGGAGTCCTTGGCAAAAGGATTAAGCCATTCAGATTTTGGAGTTCATAAATTTATTATGAAAGTTCTCATAGAACTTTTATCATAAAGGTACATAGTGTTTCAAAAGTAACTGTGCAGTAGAGACTTTGCCAGTTTTAGGCAGAAAGATGAGCCATTCAGAAAAATGCTTTAATTTACAGTGATCAAATACCAGCAAAAACACTAAAAACATGCCAGAGTTAACGGAAGACTTCAATTTGAACTGAAATTCAAAACAGTTCAGCAGCAATTTCATAAAAATTCTGAAAATACAATCCAATCAGTTTCAATGCTCAGTTACATTTTAAACACCCTGTATTAAATTGTATCTGAAAGGACCATTCTGCTCAATGAATTTGCTCTGTTACTATTTCCCTTTATAGGGATCATCATGCCTTGGTGTATATTCACTGAAGTAATATGCTTTGTATTTCAGGGATATGCCTGGCCTTTCTACAAGCCTGTGGATGTGAGTCTCTTGGGTCTTCATGATTATCATGAAATTATCAAGCATCCTATGGACCTCAGTACAGTGAAGGTGAGTCTTTTATAACCTGGCACCCCTGTTTTCATCTTAAAGTAAGGTGATAATCCTTTGCATGGCATATTTGTAGTTTTAGATTTTTTATGGATAGCACATGACTTCACTTTATCAAAGTATGTCACTGCAATATTTTGGTGTTTGTTTGTTTCGATAACATTGATGCATCAGCAAAATATATATAATCATGGATCAAAATGAATAAATGGAGAGAAAAACAGCAGATATTGCCTCAGATGAGGACTGCATTTCTGTTTTAGAGTCTTGTACAAACTAAAGATTTTTGTAGGCATTTTTCTTATTTCATATGATTATCCAGATAGCAACACTGTTAAGTGTTTATGTCCAGGTTGGATATCCCAATTAATGGCTTCTGGGGAAGCATTGCAGATTTCTGTGATCCCTCCAGGGAAGGATCTCTTTGAACAGGAATGGGTTAGATAGTCCATGGTCTGTTGACTGGAACCACAGTCGCAGCTTGGATCTTCTTTCATCTTCCATTTGTGGAGGAGATAATTGCATCAGCTGTAGGATGTTCGAAGTCTATTTAGGGAAGTCCAGGTCTTGCATGGCAGGGAGAAGCCAGGCGGTTGGGTGGAAGAGTCCGAGATGATATGTTTGTTTGGAAGTCTTGCATTTGACCAGGATTCCTGCCACTTATCTTCAGCTTTTTTGTCGGATTTGGCAAGTGTTCATCATGAACACTTTGCAGGCATTGGTCAGGTGCTAGTCCAGACTGACAGGGTGGTGAAAAATTTTTTAGCTGTATAATATACACCCTGCAGAAGACTTGGTTTGCTACCAAGGTTTGCTCCCTTGTCTCCCATTATCCCATTTATGAAGAGTCCCAACATATGCAAAAGGAGTGTTGATGGTGGTGCCTTCTCAGTTTGCCAATGCTTTAGAATGTCCAATATACCAATCACATCTAGCAGCCATCAATGTTGACATTAATGAATTGATGTATCCTTACAATGTATTACTCCATAGATCTAGGATGTATTGTGAAGGTGCATATGCATTTGCTGTGTTAAGTCAGACTATACATTGAATTTAAATGTTTCAGGTCAAAATGGATGGTAGAGAGTACAAGACTGCTGCCGAGTTTGCTGCAGATGTCAGAATGATCTTCACCAACTGCTATAAATACAATCCTCCAGATCATGATGTTGTTCAAATGGCAAGGCGACTTCAAGATGTCTTTGAAATGAAGTAAGCTCCCATCTCAGATTTAGTGAAGCTATATCTAGATACTGATGATTTTGTATTACAATTTGTGTATTTGGGAATCAGACCTTTCTTCATATACAGTATTTTTTATGCAAAACCCAAGTAAAGTTACTATATTGTAGGAGTAGAAACAGCATGTAGTTTAATGTTGATATTGTGAAGTTGTACATAGTACCTGGTTGAGATTAGGCTTAATTGAAAAGGATGACCGATTTATGTACCCAATGTATGTTTATTTTTTCTTCTGGGGATTTAAGATTTTTTCTGGGAAAGTATGCATAATATATATTTTTTTTTTTCTGGAAAGGTACGCTCAAATACCTGATGAACCACTGAATGCTGATGAGAAGCATTCAGGTTCAGAAAGTGGTTCAAGTTTGGAGTCAGACTCTGAAGGAGAAACAGACAAGCGGTTGCTACACCTTCAGGAACAGGTACAATTTCCTCATATTACTGTGTGACCTGCTAATCCATCTGCTATTTGAAAGATATGATGAATAACAAAGCTCATGCGCGTCATTTGATGCTGCATTGTGTACGAATGTAGGCATGAAAGTTATTGAGCCTCTGATCTATCATGTCACTTTTGGTAGTAATCTTCATGGGGAGAAAGATGGTTCAGATATATATTTTCATTCTGTTCTTCAGATGAATCAGATGCAGGCCCAGTTGAAAGCCCTTGTAGAAGAGCACATGATGAGGAGAAACAGAAAGAAGAGGAAAAAAGATAAAAAGAACAAGAGAGAAAAGGAACGTGAGCGAGTGGATTCAGTGGGAGGTGTGGGTGGAGTGCCAGTGGGAGTTGGCCCCAGTGTCAAAGGTGAATCAGGAGCATTAGGTACCAATATCCCAGTCACTCTCGGAACTGAGAATCGCAAAGCAGGAACGGGGAAATCCAAATCCGTGAAGACTTTGAATGCCAAAGCACAAAGTGCTCCCAGTGGGACCAAGAAAACACAGCGGCAAAGTTCAAAGACAAAGCCAAGTCGGAATAAGACAGTGACTGGTTCCATCTCATCTATGCCTCCCTTTGATTCTGAGGATGAAGACAATGCCAAGCCCATGTCTTATGATGAGAAGAGACAACTTAGTTTGGATATCAATAAACTTCCTGGTGAGTATGACAAGGAGCTAGATTTCAGCTCCTACTTGGCCTGTTCATTTATTTTATTCCATCTATGTTTGCTTGTGCCAGTGTACAGGCTTTTTGGAAAGCCTATGAAGGAAAGAACTCTCCATGAGAAATATATCATCACTAAACATGCCTTCATCATGCTGAAATGGAGAGCAGTTTTGTATATTCCTGAAGTTAAGCTCTGCCTTTCACTGTATATTTTATAAGTTATTCCTGGAAGGAACCTTCTATATCTTATGTTCATTCATTGACCAAGATTGAGTGCTCCATATGAAATGATGAACCGTTTTAAAACTTATCTACATGCTCTCTGCATTAATCAAGAAATCTATTTTCTCCGTTTTCTTATTTTACTAATTATATTTGTATGTTACTTATATATGTTCTCAGTTTTGAAAAGTTTGGGCTAAAGCATACGGGAATGATTCTGGGAGTCATCGCCGATTCAAAAGGGAATATGGAAGAGAACCACCATCCATGAGACAAATTAACAGGTGGAGAAGAAAACTTTTGGAAACTTTTCTTTTCCTACTAAAAGGTGGAATATTCTGGAGACTTCCACTCTCCAAAAGCTTTCTTCTCCACCTGTTAATTTGTCTCACAAATGATGGTTCTCTTCCATATTCCCTTCTGAATTGGCAATGACTCTCAGAATCAGCCTTTCCTGGAATATTGTACTCATGGGATTCAGGTCATTATCATTTGTCATGGTTCCCTGAATAGCCCAGCTCAACTTTCATTCCGTGGGTTGACCTTTTTATGGAGATGGCGTTGTTGCATCAATGATGAGTATCAGTGTAAAGAATTTGTTATATTTATTTGTATTTTCACTTGTTAACATCAGGGAATGAGGAGTTCATGAATGGACCATTAACTTAAGGAGGTTTCAACTTTCAAATTTGTTGACTTTCTGATGCTTCCTAGACCTACAGATATGCTACATGAAGAAATATTTTCCTCAATGCCATTGCAAGATTGAAATAAAAAGTCTAATTTAATGTGCTAATCAATATGAAGTTTTGTACTTGCCTATATCAAGAATATGTATGGATATTTGAAATAACAGACTATGCAAATAGTTATCCTACCTGTATTCTTTCAACCCTTTTGCCACTTCCCCTTTTATTGCAAGCAGCAGCATGCCCAGTGCTAGGTTTTATTTTTTGAGTGTGTAGGTCACATTGTATCATAAAATCTAGAATATAGGTAGGTAAATGAAATCTTTCATCCACCCATGTTCTGTGAGTTCAGGAGAGTCCACTATATTATCTGAGGTTACCACACTAGTGGCACCTATTCCTCCCTTTGAGTTCCCTTGATTGCTGCAATGAAATGGTTAAAACCATGAGCATTTCAAATTCTTTTTTAAATGGTAGATGAATTTTTAAATGCTTTTCCTCTACTTGTTGCTTTCATTCCTCCTGCCACCTGACTGCTTTTATACAAGTACAGCATCATTTTTCCTCAGAGTGAAAATGAAATGGTACAAGGTGCATTCATGTTATAAGTTTTCTCTGCAATAATCTGATACCATAGACTTCAGACCCCAAACACTATTTGTCAGGTCCTTATGTTTCAGTCTTAGCCCACTTGAATAGACAATGTATTTTCATTTTGTCTTTTAACCCCTTCACTGGTGCAGACGAGCTGGTCTCATCTCAAAAACAATTTGTGCCTGAAAACGTGCCAGTGAAGGGGCTAAAGGAATATCTTTTGATCCTTGAAACATTCTGATAATCTATGTGGGTAGTTCAAGGAAAACCTGAAATTTCTGTCCCACATTTGACAGCAGTGCATGTGGAATCATGAAAATATAACAGATAGTGATTACTATGATACAAAAGTTTTTTGTGGTGCAACAGTTTCAGAATCAACTTTATACATTAGTTTCAAGATAGTGCCTACTTGTATCAGTGTGACAAAGGGACACCATGTTTCCATGCTTTTTGAAAGGAAGACATGAATATGGTGAATGCCTCATTTAAATTGCCAGTTTGTGTCCAGCAGTGGGTTCCAGGATCTGCTCAAATATTAATGAGATACAGATATCTGGATACTCATAAAGAGATAATGCAAGTGCCTTGATATAATAGGCAGGTACTCTGAGAAATAGGCAAGATTTTTTAAATGTATCTTATCCTATTGGATCACAGCACAAAAAAGTCTACGTTTCCCTTGAACAACCCTTGTACATTAACTGCAGCAGAGGCACATCCAATAACTTTGATTCCTTTATCTAATGTTTACTTGGAGTTCTAAATGGAAAATCATTATTGGATTCAACTCCAGTACAATATGCAGATTCTGATCATGAATATGTAGATGGCAGTTGGGTATTTTTCTTGTAATTTAAATTTAAGTTTGTTATTGCTGTAATGAAAATAAACATGATCATTAACCACAAACTGTCTGTGGTTACAGCTTTATAGGCAAATTTTGAGATGTGGAAGTCAGCCAAAGAAATTCTTGGGCATGCCAGTGAAGAGGCTAATCTATCTTCCAATGTGTATTTCCTGTTTCCATATCTACATAGTCATCACTTCATCATTTCAGAGGGTGGCATGATATGTGAAATGTGAAAGAGCAAAATATCTTGATGTTGACATATTCCTACAGCCCTTTTGATATTTTGGTTGTTGTTGGGGATGCCTTAGTTACATTTGTTTCCCATGTTTTTCCATTGATAATTCAGAAAATTTAAATATCTCCAAGTATGTGCAAAGCTTTTGTGACCTTTATATTAGGGGATATCATGGAAGATGCATAATTTTATCACATCATGCTCTTCAGAAGATATCGATAAAACATGCATAGTTGGGTTGTGATTGGTATTTGAGTTTTCAGCTGCAGCTGTGGTGGTTTTTTTCCTGGAGAGATTCTCCTAGGAACCTCCTCTCTCTTCTTCAGTGATAGATTATTTGAACAATCCCTGAATATGCAGTTTGCAATATTTCATTAATTGTCAGCTATAATTTGCTTTATGTGACATTGACGATGCAAAGTTTATACCAAGGTTTTTCAAAGGGACTTTATTCCATAATCATTAGACATTGCAGGGGGGTGTAGTGTATTTTACCTGAGAATGTTATGGAAGAATTTAAAATCTCTGTAAGTCAGTTTCCTGGAGTTCTCAACCATATATTGAGATTCCAGCTTTCTTTCCACCTTTATGGACAAGGTTGACAAGATGATTCTTATTTCAAGTTTATCTGTTTTCAAGTGAAAGCCATAGCACAAACTTTCAATAGCATTTTAAAGCACTAGCATTGCCATTTCTTATACTAAAGGCATAGCTTTGAGACATTCCACATTTCCAAAAAAATTGCAAGCATGTGAGATTATTGAGACATCGTTCAGGGCTGTTTATTTTTTTGGATTAGCAGAAGAGCATAGCTGAGGACACTACATGATTTTGAGCATCAGACGCAAAATATGTTTTCCAAGAGCTCATACCAAAAGAAATAAATATGTTAAGAATAGTGATGTTTTTGGCAAAGTTTTCATACTCTAATCTCATTACAATGTCGTAAGAATATGATATTGCAGCTGTTGTCCATAAGGGCTTTTGCTACTGAAAAATGAATATCATTTTATAGAACAACTGAAAACTGAAGTTGACATCAAATGATGCAGTAGTACTGGAAGAACATGAATCTATTAAAGTAAATTATATTTATTAATTTTGATTTAGAAAATTTGAAAGAAAACCTTTAAATATTTTGACTTTCCTTTTATGTCTTATAACTCTGGCAGTAATGAATACATTTTGACTAATTATGGCTCATCTTGAAGCTGATAAGTTATGCTGCAAACACCAGCATTATGATTTAAATAAGGAAGGACTAGCAAGTTCAAATGCAAAGAAAACATACAAATGAAAAATTTGCTATACACATGTGCACATAAAACATTTTTTAAATTATCTTCTCCTCTATTGGCAGTACACACACCAGCATGCCAGAGGTTATATAACATATTGTACAGAACATTTGAAATTTTCATTTCCCTCTGCAATAATAAAATTAAAGTTTAAAAACTACAAAAAGCATGTTTTCTTAAAACAAAGAAATTCCTTCAATTGCATGAACAATGATTGTTCATGCTCATTTTCTTCTATTATTTGAAAATGGATGAATGACTATGAAAATACCTATTAACCTTCCTCAATACCAGTACCAATTTTTAATAACCTATTGGAGATAATGTTAATAGCAAGGGAATTAAAATTTGAACAAATGACTTGCTAAATTGGAAGTGTAGATTCTGTATGTTCTGACATCAGTTTTGAATATTGTGTACTTTTGCTTGGAGAAAACCCAGATGGTGTAATGTATAGAGATTTGTGAATGTTTTGTGTGATTTGTCCTTGTGAAGGATAAATTATTCAATGAATTTATAATGAAGTGTAAGTGATATGGTTCATACAGATTATTAGCATGAGCTTTTACTTCCTTATATGTCTTTGAGTTGCTGTCATTTTTTGTCAGTTGTACAGAGAAAACATAAATAACTGTCATGGCATGTTTTTGTGTTTCAGGTGATAAGCTTGGACGAGTGGTACACATTATCCAAGCAAGAGAGCCAAAGCACAGAGACACAAGTCCTGATGAGATAGAAATTGATTTTGAAAAGCTGAAGCCTTCAACTTTGAGGGAGCTGGAGGCTTATGTTGCATCAGTATTGAGGAAGAAACCAAGGAAACCCTATTGTGAGTTAATTTAAATCCTACTTTTAACAGAATCAGTACTTGTGATGCTTGTATATTTCTAGTAATATCCCTTACACTCATCATTGGCAAACACCATTATGATTTAGAGATACAAGTTACATGCAATACATGCATGACATCGTATGCAAGATCTTGGACCCTGGTTATTGCTCTTTAAGAGTGTCATTTTACTATTAAAAAAACAGATGGAAAAAAGTCATATCAAGGCTTGTTGCATGCTGCATGCTTAAGCCCTAGATAGTCTGACACAATTTCTGTTTGATTTCCATCTTTCTTTGGACAAAATATTGATGGTTGTAGAATGTAATGGACATTTCAGATTTTATTTCATTATTTTTTTTGCCTTTAAACCTTTTTCAGACTATTCATGCTAAAGACTTCCCCCATGAGGGAAAACATATCATCGTGCAAAACAAAAGGGTGGGGAAAGGACAGTTTTGCAGAGCAGGCAAAATTATGATAATCCTGAGAGTTTCAGTTTCTTTTTTGGCATTTGAGTAAGGAAATTTAATGCTTTGCCATTGTCAACTGTCAACAGTAGCTATTGTATAGGTATGTATGAAGTCAATTGCTGGATGCCACATGACTTCAGACACTTTTATTGGTTTGAGTTGTCCTCCATGCTGTCCCTTGCTCTGCTCTGTTCTCCTTTATCATATATGGCATGTGCCAAACAGGTCCCTATGGAAAATTGCATAATACAACAGTGTATAAGTGTAATTGTTAACTTGAGATGATCTGCATTGATACTTCATTGATACTACACTTCAAGGAAATTACTTGTGGTTTTGGCTTTGGTGGAATTCTTTATTTGAGCATTTTATTTTCCAGACAAGAAAGGCTCAGGTAAATCAAAGGATGAGCAGCTTAGTGAGAAGAAACAAGAGCTGGAGAAGAGGCTGCAAGATGTTCAGGGTCAGCTCACATCCTCAGCCTTGCCTCCAGTGAAAAAACCGCCTAAGAAAGGTTTATATTCGTGCCTTTGTGTAGCTCTTAGCTTTTTTCACAATTGCAGGCTTCCCAAATGTTGACACATTGGTATTTCTTACAGATGACACAAAATCTGAAGGAGGTGCTGGTGCAGGATCTCGTTTGTCAGGCAGCTCAAGTTCCAGTTCTGATTCGGACTCGAGTTCTAGCTCCAGTTCTAGTTCGAGTTCCGAAAGTTCCGATTCTGAAACAGGTTAGACTGTTGATGATCTGATGATCCCAGTAGGTCTACATGAGGCATAATCAACCACAAAAAGCAAATAATGGTGATGTTCAGCTGTCACTGTTCAATCAGACCCACTTCCCATCTCCTTCTGCATTTTTCCCTGCATGGGACTTTCTTGTTTAGACAATTTTTCAACTTTCAAAAATGATCAATTTGTATATAGGGAAAGTGAAGTTGAACCAGGCCTTGCAGTTTTTTTTATTTTCTTCTGTCAGTTTTTTATATTATTTATGAAGGAAAGAGCTTCATGTGTGTATGCTATTTTGGAACCTCTTTATTTGGGATGAGTGTGTCAGAGAGCAGAAATTGTAGATAAGAGGTCCCTCAATTCACCTGCAAATGACGACTCAGTCCAAGTTTGCACTTATGCCCATTTCTTAATATCATATTTGGCACTCATTAATATAAAACTTTTTTCCTCTTCAGGATATCTGAAGGTTTGCATGGTTGCATGCTGATCTATATGAATGAACAGGTTTTTTGGTGTATAAAAACACCCACAGTACTCAAATTGATCAGTATGTATTCATGCAAATTTTTTTTGGGACCTCCAATCTTCATGTTGTAAGGAACATCAGTGAAAACGAGAAGGAACATGGGAAGTGCCATTTTTCTTGATCTTTTTGTTAAGTGTCTACTCTTCTAGTCTCTCATGCTGATTTTCATCAAAGCCATTGAGTGCAGATGAATGTGAGTCAGAGGGATCAGCTGGTTGAAGTATTTCCCCTTTTGTGAGTGAACTAGCGACACGTGTTACTCATTCTGTCGTGCATTCACTGGCTTGGTGTCATACACTCATGCCATTTTGCCATTGCAGACAATGTGTGACATGCTTTCTCATGCCAATATGAAGGAATTCATCAATGTGGCTGTTTCTAATTCCATTCAGGCTGTGGCCAATCAAACATGTTATCTTTCTTTAAGCAATTGTTCAGCATGTAAGCTCATTCTTAATCCGGTATTGAGCGTTGAGAGCTGTTCTCCTTGCACATTGTTTGCACTCCATGGCATTGTGGGATCCTCCAAATGATTCTCTTCTGCTGAGCAGGAAGAAAAAAAGAAACACTAGTTTTAAAACCCAGTTTCTCAAAGGCATTATTTTCTTGGTCACACTACCATTGTGATGACCCATATGCAGGAATACCTTTTTTTCATTGCCGTTTCATATGAAGACTATGTGATTGTGATATTGTGGTTTTCTTTTTCTTTTTTTTTTTGCGATATTTTGTCCTAGTTTTTCTCAATTCAGACATTTTATAAGTGAAGCAACTCAGAGAAGCTCCCCAGCTTCTTGCCGTGTGTGTAGCTGTATATGGATTGTCTGCCCTCCCTTTGGGCTGGCTTCATGGTTGTATTCTCATTTCATAGAATAAACTTGTCATAGAAAAACTGAAATTAATGTGGCTTTTCTCTCTGTCTTGTACCCGGTCTGCACTCAATGGCTTTTCATTTTCTTTGGTGGATGTGTTTGATGCTGGTTGGGTAGGGGAGAAGTAGTTTGGCTATTGGGATGCTTAACTGCTTCAATCTCACACCCAAGAATTCTCCTGTGAACCCAGCCATACCTCTCATGGGATGCTTGGGAATTCTCTTTTTTTTGTTATTTAATTTGTTTCACAAAAACTAGAAAAGGGAGTCTAATGTGAGGTAGAACTGTTACCTTACACATTTGGACACTCAAAGTGATTTAGCAAAAGGAAACCAGACATGAGATTTGCAAATTCATTTCTGAAACTTGGCAGTGAAAGGGAAAGTTCACTTTTTTATGGCTTGAGCTCCAAGACATGATGGATGAAAGCAGTTACTAGAAACTAAGTATTAATTGACCCATCTGGAAATGCAGTAAAGGGAAAATTAAATTGATGATTTCAAATGATTATTGGAGAAAAGGGTAAGAGGTTGTTGTCAGGAGGAGGAGCAAAAGGTCATTAAACCTGAACATGATACAAGCTTACTTTCCTTTCTTTCAGTCAGCCAGGTTTCATTTTTTTAAATCAATTTCTCTTTGCTCTCTATTTAATGAATGGTCCACTACAAAAAAGTATGTTTTAGCAATGGCTTTCATTCATTATGACTCACAGATTCAAGTAGCATGAAAGTGAACTTCCCCTTTTGGAAGTTTTATACTCTGCTTTGGTAATTGTCATCTTCCATGATATGTGTCTGCTATGAATGTGCTTGGAGAAGATGAAGTATGAATGGCAGTAATGATACTACAATACATATTGAGTATTTCTTGGCTATCTATATCCATATGAGGTTATCAGGAATGGTTTGCAGTTTTGATGTATGGTCAGGCTTATTAATGGCATATAGCACTTGTGTACCATACCATAGGGCAGTTTAAGCTGCAAAGGTTGCAGACTTTTCTCTCAAAAGAAGAGACTCAAAACAGGCATGCACATATCATGGTCCTTTCAGAAGGAGGCTGAAACATAGCTAGCCTTATCTATCCACAACATCAAGTTAACACTTGGTTTTGTTGTGATATCTCCAAGCATAAGAAATTACCTTTCAATTGTATATTTTCCGATTTGGAGATATCCAGAACCAGGTTGTATATATAAGGCTGTCATTAAGGCTGATGCTTAGAGTAATAGTGGTACCTATCAGGCAGTCACACAAAGGGTAAAATAAGGTTTTTTGCGATTTTAGGAGCCTAGCTTAACAATTTTGGGGCCATGCAACTGATCTCTTGGCCACGTCTACTACTTCCAAAAATGCTGTATGCCAATTTTTACACCATCTAACAAGAACTCAAACTATGTGAAGGAAGAAACCTAATGAAAAGCCATGGCCAAAAGATCTGCTTTTGGCACTTTTAGTAGGAGTACACATGGTTGAAAAGTCAGCCCACAGCATTAAAAGGGTTAACATAGTTTATGGATGGGCAATTAAATTAAGTGTTCGCTAAAGTCATAAATTAACTTCATTTGTCATGAAAAAATTTTATATTTTCTGTTACTTGCCCTCACTTGAATTCTGAGGAATGAGTGCTTTTCTTATCACTCATATCACTTTCTAAAATCCCCTTCTGCTGCCATTAAAAAGGGTAATGAGTGAGGATGGTCGCGTTTGTCAATGCCAGCCTAGAGAGTGACTTCACTATATGATTCAAGGTGCCCTCCTGATCTTATCCCACAAAAATAGTACTGGAATGGATGAATATTTCATTATTTCTGGGATGTAAGTAATCAGCAGTTATTATTTCAATGTAATGTGAAAATTATTTATGCCTTGAGAAACACTAATGCTAATCCCCTTTTATGAAGGTCTTCCTGGTAGCAGATGTCACTGCATAAAGGTTCAGGGTACCAAACTTCAGAAAGAATGATTTTTCCCAAAATGCTCTTCAGATATGGAGGAACACTACTGAGCTCTGTATGCTTAGACAAAGCTGTAGTGACATCACCACCAAGCTGGGACATAATTATATACCATGACACTGCTATGCTGTTCATCAGCACTGTGTATTTTCATCACATGACCTCCTCCTCTTCTTGCACAGGGCAAAGCCTCAGGCTTCTAATATGCATAATAGAGAAGTCACCTAATTGTTTAAGTTCTTATACTAGGCCTCAAATCCTGTTACCCCACTGCTCTCAAAGGGAATTCAAACAAGAAAATGCTACTTTGTTTGAGTACAAACAAAGAAGATTTCCTCTTGAGGGCAAATACTGGTGGGGGTGAAATAAACAAGAGAAGAGGTTTCATTGAAATAAACAAAGGATTAAATTTTAGAATCACTGGGGATGCATGAATTAAGGTATACCTCTAACAATGAAAAGTAAATTGAAGTCAGCATGACATGGTGATATCAGTTGTAGTTATAGATGGGTTTTCTGGCAGATTAAGAAATTGCCTGCTCATTCCCATCAGCTGACATCTGAACCATTAAAATTCATTGAGATACATCCTCAAAATCTCATTCCTGCAAGCTGAACTTTTAGCATTATTAAATAATGCTGAAAAGGACACTTTCTAGATACTTGTGTGACTACTTCTTGATAAGGTGAACAAAGAAACAGGAAACATATACATGTCTTGATAACTTAGCTCCTCATAAGATGCCTCAAGATCCTCATAAGATCCTTATGCTTCAAGTGGAATAGGAAAAGTTAGAACAACATGTGGAAGAGAATGGAGAAGAGACCTCACCTGGAAGATGTTGATTGCAACCTGACAATGGTATTTACTGTTTCATGGTAGTGAAGAGGTAGTGTCAAAGCAGTAGAATAGGAAATAGTTGGGCAAGATTAATTTTGAGACAATGGAAGAAGCTGGAGATAATTTAAGTGATGAGTCCTTCAATTATCTGTATTTTAGCTCAGAAGGAGGAAAGAGGAAGGACAGTCTTGGCTATGTTTAATTTGATGCAGGGGTGCCCTAAGTGGATGTTCTCTAAGGCACTTTGTGTGCTGCATGCATCCCATGGACCAGAGTGGGAAATATGCTATTCACCTGCTTAACCCCTTGCGTCCTAATAGCGAGTCTGACTCATGGCTGTAGTGAAGTGCCGAACAGCTACATCACGAGTCAGACTCGTTTGTCATTTCCAACTCTTCTCAGCTCTACAGTTTCAACTGACCCAGTTTCAATTGGCATTAGAGTTACATTCTGTGGACATTCAGTGAACTATCACTTGTTTTTATATATCGTTTGGTTTTAGTTTGGTTGCTTCACAAGTAGATGGCATTACTGTGATACTAATACTTACTTCAAAGTCTTTGGGCATTCAATGACCTCCCGCTTGTTTTTATGCATTGATACAAGCCTTCTTTTATTGTAAAATACAAACATTAACAGGCATATGTTCCAAGTACCCCGGAAAAATGGCATGTAGGAAAGAAAGCGTTTAGTGGAAACCCAAGTAGGGGAATATTTATGCAATAGTAATGACAAAAGTGTGGATGAAAGTGAGTACTCCAGTGAAGAAGAAAATAGTGGTTGCAAAATTTATTCAGATA